TTAACTTTCAGGTATGTTGCCATATATATATATTTTTACATCTGCACGTGTGTAGCGCAAAGTGGTCCTCGAAAAAATAATGTGTACAAAAACGGGCTATATGTATATCGTCCAAGTTGAGCTGGGAAAATACACGCTCTAGTGCTCGTGGAGTTGTTTATTTTGCGCGCGAATGTTAAATATTCGTGAAAACTCGTCGTTTTTGTTTTGCTGGATATTGAAGCGCACGAAAGTATTGAACGCCGAACGACCCAAATACACGTGTACTTTTTTTTTTTCAACAACATACATACTCATATTTACGTACGACTGGTAAACAGGAGTAAAGAAGCCTCACTGCCATTTCTCTTGATGTGCAAACTCGGGTATACACCATAGAGTCGAGAGGTAGGCGACAGCGGCATTTACCATCAGTAATTAAAGCTCGCGTTTCAAGGGACCGGCGGAGGGGGGATCCTCGGAAATGCAAGAGAAAACAAATACAAGAATTTCCTACTGATGCGTATTTATATATTTCCCAAGAGGAAATGCAACGTGGTTGGCGCCTCACCTCCTGATGCCTCATCGTCACGTGTACGGATATGTGTACGAGAATGGACGCTTGGCGACACAATGTGATGGGTTTTATATCAGAGGTGAACTGAAGGGGTTCTTTTTTTTTTTTTTTTTAGCTCCGCTGTTATTTTGTTCCTTCCGTGTGTGGTGCGCGTGTGTCTGAAAACACCCTTGGGGGTGATTGGGCTTCAGTAAAATTAACGTTTGCACGAGAAAGAGATTAATGCGAAAACTCGCGATTTCACGACCAAAGTTTACTTTCGGATTAAATGTTATCGCGAGTACATTCGTGCTTTTTGACTCTATTTCATTATATTACTTTTGGTACGCATGTGAACTTTATTATACTCTCGGGAGTTTGATTTTACATTATTTGAAAATCGGCCCGTATATTACAGGTTTGAAAATTAATATTATTCTCTTTCACGTGTTATTTGAGCCAATGTATACGCACCGATTCCCCGAGGTATTTTTTTCACGATAGAAAAAAAAAAGTCCACCAATATCCAGTAACATATACAGGGCAAAAACAAACACAATGGTATTGTTATCGTGAAACCGCGATGGTTTTTCTCTTTTCCACTTTTAGAAGTGACTCCAAAGCGATTAACTCATCAATCACGCGTCGTTGTAGTAAAATCGTCACTGCCCATAATCTCAAATTTAAAACTGGCGTGGGTGATGAAATACCTCCGAGGTGGTTTTCTCCGCGCACCTGTCCACCGAAAATTCAAGTGTTGTTCTACAGCCCCGTACCCCGCGTGCATGGGCCCGGTGACCTTGTCCATCTCTCGGTACAGGCTACCACGCAAAACACTTTCATCCGAGGAAACTCTTGGCATTTCGATAACCCAGATTCGCACGATATTGATTAGATTCACGTGCGCACGGGCAGGAAAAAGAGAGAAAGGGAGGAAGGGTGTGCTTTTGCCGGGCATTAGAGAATATATATATATGGGTCGTGATACCAGCGCTGGGGGCGATCGTTTTTCGAATGGATCCAACAATCAATCAGCGACTCTCTCTTTTCCTCTCCGTGATTATAAATCGTGCATTGGAAATGCGCGCGAATCAACTGTTGGGTGTACAATGTATATGTAATAATGTGCACCTTGCACCGATTCTATACATTTGTATTGCACGGACCCGACTCTGGTATAAGTCATATTTCTACAGGGAGGAACGAGATTTTTTCTTTTTTTTTTTTTTTCCCTCCTACACCTATGTTTGACGCGAGAGGGATGATGATTACGGAGTTTTATCAAGAACGCGGGCTGCGTCACCAATTTTTTAGCTGTCTCCCCCCACCCCCCTCTTTGTCAGCGAGCGTAGTAATTAAATTGTATTTCTCCCTTCGGAGAGGTATAATGTTTAATCAACACCAACGTGAAATTTCGTTTTTCAAGATGATACAATACAGTCGCAATTAGATGATTTTCAACTCGCTCCTTTATATACTCGTAATTAGGTTACATAAAATGATTATTCGACAAAATTGCACGATATACTTGGAAATTTCTTTTTTTTTTTTTTTTTTTTTTTTTTTTTTTTTTTTTTATTATATACGTTCACAGTCTACACTTACGTGTTACTTGAAAGAGTGTACGGAACGTCACAGATTCGATCGTCAAACGTCAGGGAGGAAGTTTTAGTAATTAAAATGTTTTCCTGCACGACATTGTTCCTTTCCCTCAAAAAATATTTACCAAGTTCAAGATCTTGATGTTGGGCTGAAAATATTAAAAAAAAAGATTTTATTATTGTTTTATTCAAAACGATACACCTTTTGCCACGTGTACCTATTTAACATGAGAAAGCAATGATTAATTTTGTAATCCTCTGTTTCTCACCCTTTTGTATTATGGTTCAGTTGGTATTATTCAAATTTTATCTCCCTTTTACTAATATTGTTTCTACCTTTGCTCGATAACTTTATTGTGTTTTACTCTCCCATTCCCTAGACGCGAGTTTATTGACGTTTCCTTATTAGTTTTTGCTTCACAATTTTTTTTTTTTTAAATTAAACTCTGCTTGAAATATCAGAGCGAAATATTGCTCTGCGCGGGATTTATCGATACGTTCAATTTCGATACTCTTTTTGATGGAACGATAAAAAAAAAAAAATAATAATACAGTATTTATTTCGTTGGATGGCGCAGTATACAAACTTTGAGCAATAGCTTTGAGACGACGCGTATCTGAACTAAAGTTGTGAGCTATTAAATGCACATGGCACGAAAAGCTTGTGCCTAAGAAAAACGAAAAATATGATTCTATTGTAGTAAAATCCAAACTTTTTAATACACACGCCTATGAGCCCGGAGTTACTCAGCAGTTGTAAGGATGATCCGTTTGGCAGTCAAATATATTTGGTTAACTTTCAGGTATGTTGCCTGTATTATTACGTATTATTAATAGAGTTTTTACACTCCAACATTTCTTACGTTACGTTCGCCAAAACAAATTTGCTCTTCGAGTTGGGTGTGCCGTGGTAAAATCAGCCAGTCGAGCGTTGTTGAAGTTATGTAAAGCCAAAGCCTAGATTATATTATTATGAGGAACACGAATGCTTTGAAAACAAGCATCAAAGGAGCTTCAACAAATATTTAAGGAAAATCTTATTGACGTAAACGCGCGTTTACGTGTGTTTACTAACTATTGTTACATAAACATATGGTATTATTTTTGTTTTTTAACTAATTATGATAAAGCCTTTGGGTATGTATATTGTATCACTGGTGTAAAGAACTAATCTCAATGTTTAACAAGTTTAAACATCAAGATTTCACCGAATCATTGCTAGTACCGTTGATGAGTAAGTTCACGATAAAGCAACATTTTATTGGTTTTATCTCGAGGAGTAGATAATATTTAATTATCCGCACACATTGTACAAATTAATACCAAAAATGACATTTGAAGCACGTATATTTATGTCTAACTTTGCTACATTGATTTTAATTTCCGACACTTTGTACCGCAAGTCCAACGCACCAACTCCGAGGCACAAAGGACTCGCAAAGTTTGAACCGCCGCACTTTTTTCGCACAAACACTCGCACAATGTAAGTAGGTATACGCGCACACAATACAATGTCTCGCTTCGCGTAATAGAAAACAACACGTTTATGTGCCTCATTATATTATGTTCCAGACGCACACGTGCATCAGGCAACACTTGTAATATATATATATATATAT